TAATCAACATGACAATTAACATTTTTGTGGAATAACACTCACAACGTTTATAACATTGGAAGGCACCAAACTGGTGCCACTACTTGGTCTACTAAGGTGAGGGTTATGAATTTGAACAGGAAATATCTAATGTAAGTATATGAAAAGAAGTGTTTCACACTGAACAGACATTTGATACTAGACTCAAGTCAAAACTGGTGCCAATACTCATTGGGGCTCTGGAATAACTCAGTTGGTAGACTAACGATCCCAATATACGGAGTTGAATTCCTCACCATGTATAACCCAAGTTAGAATCAACTACATCGGATTTCCCTGTTTCCCTTCAATTGCTCTATCAAGGAGATGCCAGAAAACTCATCTTCAACAAATGACTTTCATGATGTCATGAATCTTGTTGGGACCACTGGTGACAAAAACATTAAATGTGGATCTCCGCAGAGTTTACAAGTCATTGTCTTGAACCATGAATGTTTGTACCAAACTTTGGTCTAATCTAAAAAGTACATGTCAAGAGGTAAAGAGGCAAAGTGGCCAGACTGGAAAAACCGACTGGAATTGTCATATTTAGAAAACTTCAGCTTGACACCCACCATACCGCGCCCCTGTTGGGTGTAGTAATGGAGAACAATACAATGAGTTGTTCTGGAATTATTGCCCAGACAATGTTCAATGAATGTCTGATGTCTGACACTTAACACCTGCGTGAACTCATCATGGTCTGAGAGGAAATCTGACAAGCAGACTTCTGATTAGCTGGCTCTGCAATTGCGAAACCCCAGACTCACTTGAGGTTACCCTCGAGGACCAAACTAAAAAAGTTTCTGATCTTTGAAGGCGATCCTTTGCACAGTGTTTTTAATGGACAGCTCCTTCAGTGAGCGAAGTCTGGTGATGCCTCTGTGGTATACTGAACGACTTAGAAGGTTCTTTGTTCCAGAAAAAGTCAGATATTTTAATTTTAAGTTGTGGTGATTCATGGATGAAAAGACTGGTTGATGGTTTCAATGGTTTTTTTATTTAATAACTTGACCAGGTGGCAAATGAGATTCTCCACTGGGGATTCAAGAAATTTCTAATCTAATCTAAATTAGTGCTTTTCATTTGTTCCAGTGGATGGTAAGGTGCCGTTCTGCACCGAGGGACTCTATCTGCCTAAATTTCTGCCTCCCACTCCAGCAAATAGAGCTCGGCTGAACACCCCCGTCAATCAAACGATTCACATCCCCATCAGTGCAGAGGCAAACACTTCCAAGTATGTCAAAAAATGAAGACATTTATAAGAGAAAATAAATCAAAATAATTGCAAAACTTTCTCTGATTGGATAAGAAAGTTTTATCCACATAAATATAAACTTAAATACTTTTCGGTTGCACAAGGAATGTTGTTTTGTGTAGCTTAAGACATGTTGCCTATGACATGTTTGACAAGACTGCAACAAGAACATAACCAACTGTATAGTGCTGTTGGCAGATTTGCACTTAAAGATGAAGTAAGATAACACTGTATTGTTAGTTCACACGGAAAACTACAATAATCATCAGAATAACTAGTACAGGAACATCCAGAACATGAACACTATCAAAAGTAAGTAGACTACCTTTGTACCTTTAATTCTAAAAAATATGAAAACTTCCCAACTCCTACCTGTTCTATGTTATAACCTGTTGACAAATTGTTGCAGAAATGAAAGAGTTTTTTGAGGCTGGTACTAGTTTGACCAGTATTACCAACGACAACCAAAGGAATTATAGGCACATTTGACTCACCCATTTCCAGCTAACTCACAACAACCAAAGTTCCAGCTAACTCACAACAACCACAATCAAGGAAACAGCATTAATCAGATATCAGGTTGAAATTCCAACCATGTTCACAACAACAAAAATATTTTTGCTCCATTTTTGGACAAAACATTTTCAAATACTTATCTGACAGCTTGTCAAACCTTTCCTTTTTCTGTTGTGCTGAAGGATTTCTGAGCTGCTGTTCAGCGGGCCATACGACATTGACAATATCACAATAGAAGTGGGACAGTTCATCCTGAAATGGACACCGTCTGAGAGAGAGGATGGAGAAAGCCACCCCATCTGCTTTGTAGTGCAGGCAAATTCTGGGTGGGTCACTCTGACATACATGATTTACCGTTAGCAAAATACAAGGTAAACTGTAGATATATCTTTTACTTAGTACTGTAAATAAAATAACTTGTGAAATCATTTTCTAAACAAGCTTCCACATTCAATTCCACAGTTCAAGGAAGTATCACTCAGATCTAAGATGTGTCATTGTTACTGTTGGAAACTGTAAGTAGAAACCTGCCTTGTTCTTTTGTGTGTTTAAATTTTTGATTTCCGCCATTCCAAAGTTCAGATAAAATCTATTTTCATGTTCACTTGTGTTTACAGACCAAGCAATCGTAACTTCAACTCCAACAGTCGCTAAAACAACCACAGAGAATACAACCAACATTCCCTCAGCAACTACCACTCCAACCACAACCACAACCACACCAGCTGTAACCAACTCTACGAATGCATCAATACAAAATGCAACATCACCACTAAATCTCACCACTACTACACCAACAACCATGCAGAGTACAACTTCTTTGACTACTTCCACAGCGACAAATACAACACTCAGTCCAACTACTGTTCCTTCAACAATAACCACTCAAACTACAGCTAGCACTACACCGTCTACAACACAAGCTACAACCAATACTCCGTCCACAGCAATACAAGATACCACATCACAGCTTCATTCTACCACTGCTGCACCAACAACAACCATGCAGAATACCACTACTACAACCACAGCTACCAGTACAACATTCAGTCCAACTACTGTTCCTTCAACAATAACCACTCAAACTACAGCTAGCACTACACCGTCTACAACACAAGCTACAACCAATACTCCGTCCACAGCAATACAAGATACCACATCACAGCTTCATTCTACCACTGCTGCACCAACAACAACCATGCAGAATACCACTACTACAACCACAGCTACCAGTACAACATCAGTCCAACTACTGTTCCTTCAACAATAACCACTCAAACTACAGCTAGCACTACACCGTCTACAACACAAGCTACAACCAATACTCCGTCCACAGCAATACAAGATACCACATCACAGCTTCATTCTACCACTGCTGCACCAACAACAACCATGCAGAATACCACTACTACAACCACAGCTACCAGTACAACATTCAGTCCAACTACTGTTCCTTCAACAATAACCACTCAAACTACAGCTAGCACTACACCGTCTACAACACAAGCTACAACCAATACTCGTCCACAGCAATACAAGATACCACATCACAGCTTCATTCCACCACTGCTGCACCAACAACAACCATGCAGAATACCACTACTACCAGTACAACACTCAGTCCAACTACTGTTCCTTCAACAATAACCACTCAAACTACAGCTAGCACTACACCGTCTACAACACAAGCTACAACCAATACTCCGTCCACAGCAATACAAGATACCACATCACAGCTTCATTCCACCACTGCTGCACCAACAACAACCATGCAGAATACCACTACTATACCACAGCTACCAGTACAACACTCAGTCCAACTACTGTTCCTTCAACAATAACCACTCAAACTACAGCTAGCACTACACCGTCTACAACACAAGCTACAACCAATACTCCGTCCACAGCAATACAAGATACCACATCACAGCTTCATTCCACCACTGCTGCACCAACAACAACCATGCAGAATACCACAGCTACCAGTACAACACTCAGTCCAACTACTGTTCCTTCAACAATAACCACTCGAACTACAGCTAGCACTACACCGTCTACAACACAAGCTACAACCAATACTCCGTCCACAGCAATACAAGATACCACATCACAGCTTCATTCCACCACTGCTGCACCAACAACAACCATGCAGAATACCACAGCTACCAGTACAACACTCAGTCCAACTACTGTTCCTTCAACAATAACCACTCAAACTACAGCTAGCACTACACCGTCTACAACACAAGCTACAACCAATACTCCGTCCACAGCAATACAAGATACCACATCACAGCTTCATTCCACCACTGCTGCACCAACAACAACCATGCAGAATACCACTACGCTACCAGTACAACACTCAGTCCAACTACTGTTCCTTCAACAATAACCACTCAAACTACAGCTAGCACTACACCGTCTACAACACAAGCTACAACCAATACTCCGTCCACAGCAATACAAGATACCACATCACAGCTTCATTCTACCACTGCTGCACCAACAACAACCATGCAGAATACCACTACTATTACCACAGCTACCAGTACAACACTCAGTCCAACTACTGTTCCTTCAACAATAACCACTCAAACTACAGCTAGTACTACACCGTCTACAACACAAGCTACAACCAATACTCTGTCCACAGCAATACAAGATACCACATCACAGCTTCATTCTACCACTGCTGCAACAACCATGCAGAATACCACTACTACAACCACAGCTACCAGTACAACACTCAGTCCAACTACTGTTCCTTCAACAATAACCACTCAAACTACAGCTAGCACTACACCGTCTACAACACAAGCTACAACCAATTCTCCGTCCACAGCAATACAAGATACCACATCACAGCTTCATTCTACCACTGCTGCACCAACAACAACCATGCAGAATACCACAGCTACCAGTACAACACTCAGTCCAACTACTGTTCCTTCAACAATAACCACTCAAACTACAGCTAGCACTACACCGTCTACAACACAAGCTACAACCAATACTCCGTCCACAGCAATACAAGATACCACATCACAGCTTCATTCCACCACTGCTGCACCAACAACAACCATGCAGAATACCACTACTATTACCACAGCTACCAGTACAACACTCAGTCCAACTACTGTTCCTTCAACAATAACCACTCAAACTACAGCTAGCACTACACCGTCTACAACACAAGCTACAACAATACTCCGTCCACAGCAATACAAGATACCACATCACAGCTTCATTCCACCACTGCTGCACCAACAACAACCATGCAGAATACCACAGCTACCAGTACAACACTCAGTCCAACTACTGTTCCTTCAACAATAACCACTCGAACTACAGCTAGCACTACACCGTCTACAACACAAGCTACAACCAATACTCCGTCCACAGCAATACAAGATACCACATCACAGCTTCATTCCACCACTGCTGCACCAACAACAACCATGCAGAATACCACAGCTACCAGTACAACACTCAGTCCAACTACTGTTCCTTCAACAATAACCACTCAAACTACAGCTAGCACTACACCATCTACAACACAAGCTACAACCAATACTCCGTCCACAGCAATACAAGATACCACATCACAGCTTCATTCCACCACTGCTGCACCAACAACAACCATGCAGAATACCACTACTACTACCACAGCTACCAGTACAACACTCAGTCCAACTACTGTTCCTTCATCAACCAGTAAAATTGCAAGTCCACCACCAGATACTACAACTGAGGGAATAACAACCTTGCCGACAAGCACAACCAAAGACTCAAACCAAAGTGAGTATTATCTACGTTAAAAGTTTTCCCCAATATGATCATGTTTTTGGAAATAAACAAAGCAGTTCGGTCTCACAGAAGTACATGAAATGATCAAGACTGCGTCATACCAAATTATGGTGTTGTCATTTGTTAAAGTATGCATCAGTACTACAGAAACAACTGCAATGGTAGGTATACAAGGATCTTATGTCTTCATCAACACAGTGTTTTAGAAGTAGTAGTTAGGCTGTGCAGAGAGTAAAAATGTCAGCTTGGGTGGGTTGTTGAGGAGAATGGATAGGTCGAACACAAAAGACTTTCAGCCAGGAGACCAGGGTACAATCCCTTAGTGGACTTAAAGTCAACTTTGGCTCATATATTCCCAACATGCACTTTATAAAGTTATGTACCTCACAAATGTGTGTTACTGTCCTGATTTAAGAAGTCATTTTTACTCAAACATCAATCCTTAACTGCGTTGTAATGTTGCTTCTCTTCACCACTAGTTGTTGCAGTTTGGAGAATGAAGATTTCCTCATCATCTCCACTGTCTGATGAACACATCAGGAACACTGTCATCCAACAGGTCAGTGTCCTCTTAAGCAATATCTAATCAAATGGGTACACAATTTGTTTTTGTTGAAAAAATTATCAAAGTTTGTACTTCATTTTGCCATTATGGAATACTGCTTTGAATAATACATCCCTTAACATGCTACTTTTACAACGATTACAGATGAGTCAGAATCCCAACGCTAACAGCTGGGTTTGCACTGAGGCATAAAGAGCAGATAAATGTTGCTACTGTACATGTGCTTCGGAATAACATGTCGGAATACCACTGATTCTTTTTCATCTACAGATCAAAGATGAACTGGTGAGTCGAGGGATGCCATCAGACATCACTTTACGTCTTTTGAGCAGTGTGAGACTGGAGCCTACATCAGCGCCCCCTGCTGACATAACCTGAAAAATGTATTTTCTGCCACCTTTCAAATTGAAAACTGAAGGATAAATACTTTTTTTTTCAAACCAAGGGGAAATTTTACTTTTATCACTCATTTGTTGAGACACTTACAGGCCAAAATACACACTCATAAACAAACAGGATCATATGGACATGTATTGATGGAGATATGTCAGATTGAGGAGTTGCACACAAAAGGGTGTTCAAGGAGTTAGTGATGCCTTGCTCAGTGGTACTTTTAGCAGTGCCCAGCTAGTCAACTTGCATATCTCCAGCTACCAGCCCAATTTCCGCAATGGGTCCCAGGTCCTTTCAAACTGAGCCACTGCCGCCCTCAAGGTATCCACTGACAGGATTCTTTCACTGGCAGAAACTGTGAACGAATTTTCCAAATTGCTCCATTATTTTAAACATTTAAACACGTTTAACGTTTGAAGTCTGTGTGCACAGTATGAGTGTGGTTCTAAGGATGTGTTAAGTTAAGACTGTTTTGATGTAAAACCATGCAGGTCCATGTTTTACAAAATCAAATTAAAAGTGTTTTTGTTGTATTTGGTTTTATGGCTTATATACTGTATGTAATGGTTCTGATGGTATGTTGCACTTCCTGTCAGCACCTGTGTTGGATTGTTAAAGCTGTTCATTTGCATTTGCTGAGGCAGCTTCCTCCTCTCTAGATCATTGCTTGTGTTCTTACTTTCTGATGTTCATAGCTTTGGATCAAATCTACTTCTTAATGAATTGTCGAATTGTAGTTGAATTGTATTTGTAATATACTTTAGACACTGTGACCTTCTTTTAGCAGAGACGCATCATTCAAGAACTACAACATTTTTTATGGGGCCTGATGCCAACAAACAAGTGCAAGTGACGAGTTGACTTAAAACGCATTTCTAATAGAAATAGAAAATGACCTTCGGAGAAGACTTTGGCATAAGCAACAGTGTTATTTGGATTCAACAATTTAAAGGTGGAAAAATCAATGTGTGTGGCGATTATATTTTTATTTATTTTGTATTTAAATGCTGTATTTTAGCTAAAAAAATGTGAAGAAAGGGTAATGATGGAGTTCTTTAAATGAAATGGCACTCTGTAAATAAACTTGCCTTGCCTTTAATCATGGTGTTAACACTTGGGAACTCAGGGAAACTTGAGATACCATCAGACTCCAGTCTCTGAGTTTTGTAAGAAGAGTGTGTGACTGGAAGCTGCAACCACAGTGACCCCCTCTGGTTCAACAAGCCACTAGGTCCATTTAGAGGAACTTCTTATCTTCATCAACATATGGGGTTAGTGTGGGCAATGTGGATTTTTTTAATGTTTAAATTTCCAAAGTTTGATTTCATACCACATATGAACCTTTACTGTGGTTACTATTATCTTCAGGCTTGGAATTAGAAAGTTAGAGTTATTTCTCATTTTATTATCAGATTTCTAAATGTGAAATAAAATAATTTTTTAATGCACTTAATTTACCAAAAGTTGCATTAAGTCAACACATGTGGTACCTCGTTAAATTTTCTTGAGTGGATATTTTGTTCACTGTACAAGTCTGTAATTATGGGCCTCATTCACCAACCAGCATGAAGTAAAACCGTAAAATCCTGAGGCTGTGATGGACCGATTTTTTTGTGGAAAGACTCGAGATTGTTCAGATATTAAAGAGGAAAGATAATAATATGTTTGGGTGTTAATCAAGCACAGAACATAATCTTTGAAAAAAAGACAAAAGGAACCAGCGCAGATTAAAAGACATCTGTTTTTACTTCCAGTTGAACGAGCAGCGCAGCATGTCATTAGGAATAATACACAGGTCACGGTTTCAAGATAGTAACAATAAATTGAAACATCAGTCAGTTGTAAACTTGTTCATCATGATGCAACATGATATTGAACTCTTTATTGGTTTTGCTTTAAAGGGCGTGAAGCCAACTCTTTTTTAACCGACCAGCCAACAAATACATGGTTTTACCAGCTGAATCCATTTCTCGGGCATGGACGAGTAACTCTTTTAAATACTAACTTTTCAACAGTAAAGAGTAATAAGTTACCTCTTTGGAACATCAATACTTATTCTTTGTTTGCCCATTTTTGACGTCAATCAAATGTACAGTTTTTGGATTGCAGAACTGAATTGTTTGGCTGGTGGCTAAGTGTTAATTTCAGGCCCCCTTTTTATTCTACACACAATCCTTCCCGCTGTCAAGTAAAACAGCAAATGGGATGCACTTCCTTTGTTTCAGTCAACAAGAGTCATTTTTGTTGGATTTTACCAAATTAGTCCGACAAATCAATATGGATGAACCAAAACAAGAGCACCCAGATGTTCAACATTGATACAGAAAAAACAAAACAAAACAACAGATGAACTGCATTTTCAGCAGAGTCAAACAAGCAAGCCAGTACCCTGAATAGTTAACACAAATCTGGAAAAAATATTTACAGTTCCAAATGTTTTCAGGTGCTCAACAAGGTACAGGTGCACTTTATTTGGAGCCGATCGGAGTGATGATGGAAGTTTTTCAGATTCGACAGACGAGGCGAGAGAACCAAATCGTCTCTTTCTTTGTTGAACTTTGACCAGTCTAATTCAAGGTGACAAAGAATCTTTTGCACCATACGATTCAGAAAAAAACATTTCAAACCTTGTTTTTGTTTTTACCCAGATCTTCATAGAAAACACACAAAAAATGCTCTGAGTTTCAGTAACGTTCCCTTCATTAGAACTGCACGTAGTTGTTATAAAAGTTGAACCGTCCTATAAACAGCTAACAACATCAAACCTGGGCAAGGATTCTTTGTAAATTGTACCTGCCTGAAAAAATAGTGTCTGGATACAAATTAGCGTTGATTATGAGAACACACTGATCACGCTTTCGAGCTTCCATCCCCTTTCATAGTTTCAAACACTGAAACAGAAATAAGGCAGCTACTACTTTGGAGGATGGTTCCTTCATTGTCATGATGTTTTTTTACACACCCAAGGATTAAATGTAATCACACCATGAGCTTTACCATTTGTAAAATAACCAGATGACCCATGAGCAAGCGATTAACTATGCTGCTTGTTACCTGTCCAAACAAAATCGTCAATGCTTCCTGGGGCCCGTTTTCAGAAAGAAGGTTCAACAAACTCTCAGTGTAACACCGAGCTCTGAGTCGATTTAACCTAAGGTGGAAAACTCTGAGTTTCTGGTACCAGAACAGCTGATTTAAGTTTATTAAATCAAATCTGAGGAGGTTCACTCCAGCATGCATCATGACTATGAAAAGCCAACATTAATGGAGCCCCGATACTAAGATTCACCTTGGCTTGAGTGACCTCTCTTTCTGAAACAGGAAACCCAGAGTTTCCCTCAATTCAGGGTTAACAGACTCAGTGTTTGCACTACACCTGCTGTGTGAAACTGGCCCCTGGTGTCCCTGTTTGTAAACTCCGGGAGAGAAGCCGTTGGTCCCGTCGTGCTGCTCGGATAGCAGCGGCGACCGTTCCCCGTCCGACATCACTCCCAACGGACCCCGGGCCTTTTTCTGTATTTTAAACCTCAGAAGGAGACTTTGCTGCGGCGGCTGGAAGAGATTCCTGTGAAGAGTCACGCAGCGGATTTTAATCCCAAAAGCTGTTAGTTTGAGTCCCACATGACACTGCGAGAACAGAAGGCGGAAGCGAAAAAACAAAAACATCGGTCACATGACGGGGATCTGAGTCACGGCTATGACGGACAGGTCCCTTGACCAATGAGCGAGCTCGGAGGGGATGGGTGGGTTCGATGATGGTAAATGAGCCGTTGGTCCGTTTGACAGTTCGGGCCGCGTTCAAATACTGATACACAGCGACCTTATCTGAGTTTGTAAATAGGCTACTTTCAAATAAGGAACCAATGTTTTGATTTATTTACTTACTTCCTTTTTGATTAACATTCATATTCTTAATTTTCCCTGATCTGTTATAGGCCTATCAGTGGTTCTAAACTGGTGGGTTGGAACCCTAGAATGGGACGAGTAGCTATTTTCGACGGGTCGCTAGGTGAAAAGGACAAAAAACTTGAGTCAAAAAGTAGGCCTAAATCAAGGACATGTTTATCTTCTGCAACATGTTTTGTACCGTCTCAGGTCCAATTAACTGCACTGTTCCTCGTCAAATAATAATTTTATTTAGATTATGTTGAATTGTTGGTTTTATCAGGGCACAAAAGTCTCCTTGGTGGAAGTCCAAGATCCATTCATCACAACAGAACACCACTCAAAGCCCCACGTCATCAGCCATCGTCATGCTGCGTTACCTGTCTTCCAAAAGTGTGTCATGTTGCAAGCACAGTTTGTACAAATACAATCGTCTGAAGTCCAGGATTAGAGTCACAAATCTAACAAACAAGTCTATAGATGAGATCCATGTCGTGAATAGGACAAACTTTAATTAAGAACTCGACAGTCTGCGTCTCGGATTTCCTCTCAGACAGTGACGAGCTTACGTAGGTGTTGAGTGTTGACATCAAACATTCATTATTCATTGTTAGCGCAAAAGTTCCAGAACAACTCATTGTATCGTAGGCTCCATTTACCATATCGATCTCATAGTGCACACGTTGTCAAAATCAAATTTCAACAACGCCCTTCCTCTCTCTTTATCCGCAATCTTTGGAGTCAAAGAGTAACCAATTATGTTTTTTAATGTTTTTTTCTTTCTATAATAAAGAGATGCAACCAGAAGCTGTGAAAGCTTATCGTTCATCAGTTTAATCATAGAGATTACACAGGCAGAGATCTAGGCTAGTTACAGTGAATAATTCAGCTTCAGATATTTCCCTCATGCGTTGGTGGAAACCAAAAACAGAGCTAAAAGGGAACAAATATTGGACCTATACATCAAGTGGCAACAAAATAAATGTCAAATAACTGCTATATATGCAGTGTTTCTTATGTTAATATAATAAGCAGTATATCAATTTAAATTTTTTTAAATGTTCATTTTAAGATTTTCTTCTACTGCCCCCCAGTGGCCAAAACCTAACCTACATTAAAGAACATTGGCAAGGCCATTACACAGACTTGTAAAGGGTAAATTATATTACATTTATATGAAGTTTTTTTTTACTTTTTACTTTTATTTTGGCTGATTTTGACCGCACAATAAAAACTCTGTTAATTGAGAGCGAGCTTTTTGTGTAGGAGAGCGAGAAGGAAAATACATTCGCTTCTTTTTCCATTCATTTGAGAGCTGATACGTTGTTTTGAAAGCATTCAGAAAAGTATAAAAGAAGCATATCATGTTCACAAAATCCTGTCTCTGTTTCAGGGAATTGTTAGTTATGGTACAAATAAGAAATCTGATAGTTCAAAAAGACCAAACACAAGAACATGACCACAAACTGTCGGTAATAATCATTATTTTGTCAGACTAGTTCCTCATACCACATTGTTTCCTTGTTTAATGTTTGAAATGAATAGATGATTTTCTTAGTGGGAGGGAGGTACTTAAAAGGAGCCCCTCTGAAGTTTGAATCACGCGTCAATGTCAGTTCACTTGTCTTTGCACGGGGAGGCTCACGCATTCACAATGCTTTGCTCTCTGCTGTTGTTACTGCTGGTCTGCAGCACCCGGGCGACTCACTTTTACGGGACTGTGATGACCTACTACCCAAAAACCCCTCACACAAACGGATCTATTGAGGTATGTGAAGATTTCTATCTGGTAGAAGTTGCAACCTTTAGAAAAGGTCTTTACATTATTGCTTCGATTAAGGTGAGAAAGTAAGTAAGAATCTCCAAGAACAGCACAAAAAGAGGACTTTATGTATGTTCTTAAAGTATTAAGGGAGTTTACATTTTTCTCTGGAGCATGTCATAATATCCCAGTTATCTCAAGAAAACAACAAGATTTCTCAGCTGGATAAACAACAAATCACATTGGCTAGAAACATATAAGTTTGACAACTTTGCTTTCTATGTACGAGCATTACAAATGAAATGTTGAACTATCAAGCTCATAAAGCATACATAGAACAATAGTTCAGTGGTGAGGAGTGAAAATATGCTGTAATCACAGACAGTAAACAATTAATGGACATGGCCTAAGTGACGTCAGACACCTGTTCCTGCAGGAGGCTCTGGAAGCTCATCGGCAGCAGCCATCATGTTGGAAATGCTGTCTCAGTCTAACTTTCAGTCAACCTAACGACAGGCTGAGAGCTGGAGCTGAGGCGGGTTTTAAGCCTCTTGACAAACCGTTACATGGCACCCACCTGTCAATCATGTCAGCTACACGCCTAACTATGGATAACAAGTATCGTTTTCAAAATCAAAACAGAGCCGTTATTTGTACCAGGCTTTAAACATGTCAATTTATGCTGTGAACATTTTTTTTTGCCTGTTGTGTGTATGTGACTTCCTGTGTTCCTGGAGTCAGCCTCTAGTGATGAACTGCAGGATTTGCACTTCCGCATTGGCTTCATTTTTCAACACTGGCTTACTGCTTCTCTGTAATAAACAACAAAAATGTGTTTAAAAGTAGCAGCTTTCCCCATGTACGCATTCAAATAAACGACCCATTTCTAATATCGTTGTGTAAGCTAAAACAGGTTTTCGTTGTAATTTAACACCACAGGTGGTTCTTCGCTACAAGCTGAACTTCCTCTCTTGCGATGATTCAGACTCGTGGACCTGCTTCTTAGGGGACTGTGGGACTCAGAGCGTAGAGCTACACAAGGTGGAGGAGAGCAGCGGAGAGTGGTGTCAGAGAGAGGGGGTCATGACCCGACAGGTTCCCAGCAACGCTCCTTTTTACCTGGAGTGAGTGATCAGTCAGAGTATTACACTACTTTACACTTTTATAACCTAAGATAGAGAATGTCAATAGTATAACACTCCAAAATCTCAATGAATTCACAGATTTATTCTCCAACATTTTCTGAACATTGCAAAGATTTAGTAACAGATTTCACATAAGGAGTTGAAAAGTAAAAGGTTTACACATCTTCAGTACTTATCTACACCTTCCCCATGGGTTTCCACAACAGGTTAAGTGGGGGTAACTGGATAAATGACGTCGTAAATGACATCTCGTCATGGGAAGCTCTGACTCTGGTGGAGCTGAGGAACAGGTCTGACACCAACGAGGCCAACAGATCACCCCAGACCACCATCCTGCCCGCTTTGAGGTAAGAAAACACACCCATTGTGTTTCTACTTCTAGTTCTTTTTACTTCTCAATTCGGAGCCACACTGTGGATTCAATACATTACCAGCAATTTCAGTGCCTTATAAATCTGACAGGACTGAAAACTCTGCGTATACACATGAAAAGGAGGATATCAGGTGCTTGTTTTCTGTGAAAAAAAGTCAGATTTCTGACTGTAATGTCTTTGCCTGGAGTGGACAAATCTGAATTATCTTTTTCTCAGAGTTCCTTCAAACTGTCAGAGAGATTTCAACCTGTTGGCGTTCGACCCCGATGGAGACAAGGTTAAATGCAGATATGGAAACACATCACAGTCAGAGTGTAACCCCTGCACACCACCATCTGTTCTCAAACTCTCACCTGTGAGTAGCAATGGTCCACAGAAACTTTTAATTAAGTTTAATTTAGCATTTTAGTTTCAGTGTGAACATAAAAACCAAGAGAACAAGCCAAGAAGCCAATATGAAACTATGATTGTGTCTGTCATAAACTGGATTAATGGAAAAGAAAGAGTGGGGTTGTTTTTCTAAAATACCTAATATCCAAAATTCCAATCCAAGTTATTTAACTTTCTGACAGACACCTTGTGTCTCCTTTGTAGTCCTGCACTCTGTCGTTCAGCCCCACAGACAGCAGCGATGAAGGTCCTTACGTCGTCCAGCTGGTGTTGGAGGACATTCCCCAACAGAATATCATCCTGACTCACACAAACGGCTCTAAGGAGTTGAAAACTAGCAACGACCCGATCAGTAAACTACCACTACAGTTTGTTTTAAGAGGTAAGACTTGATGTTCTGGCATCACAAAGATATTAAGCTACAGTGGAGTTCAAGTTCCACTGATCTTCAGTGAGGGATTTGGTTTTTCAGGAATGTTATCGAAGCTATTCTGCAAAGTAATCAACATGACAATTAACATTTTTGTGGAATAACACTCACAACGTTTATAACATTGGAAGGCACCAAACTGGTGCCACTACTTGGTCTACTAAGGTGAGGGTTATGAATTTGAACAGGAAATATCTAATGTAAGTATATGAAAAGAAGTGTTTCACACTGAACAGACATTTGATACTAGACTCAAGTCAAAACTGGTGCCAATACTCATTGGGGCTCTGGAATAACTCAGTTGGTAGACTAACGATCCCAATATACGGAGTTGAATTCCTCACCATGTATAACCCAAGTTAGAATCAACTACATCAATTTCCCTGTTTCCCTTCAATTGCTCTATCAAGGAAATGCCAGAAAACTAATCTTTAACAAATGACTTTCATGATGTCATGAATAGTGTTGGGAGCACTGGTGACAAAAACACTAAATGTGGATCTCCACAGTGTTTACAAGTCATTGTCTTGAACCATGAATGTTTGTACCAAACTTTGGTCTAATCTAAAAAGTACATGTCAAGATATTTCAATGAATTATTCGAAAAATCTTGGTAAAGAGGCAAAGTGGCCAGACTGGAAAAAACAACTAGAATTGTCATCTTTAGAAAACTTCAGC